TTCCGAGTTCAATTCCCAGCAACCACATGGTGGCTCACAGCCATCTGTAATGAGGTCTGGTGCCCTCTTCTGGCCTGCAGACATACACACAGACAGGATATTGATACATAATAAATAAATATAAATAAATATTTAAAAAGTAACCTCTTTCCTGTTTCCACAAATGGCCCTCCTTGTCCCTCTCTGTCACCAGAACCTTTGCCCCCTCCCTTTTTTAAAAATGAGTTTTTCAGATTGTGTCATCTCCTGTGGTGTGGTATGTAGTGTTTCTTATGAAAGCTCCTGTTTTCCTTTTTTTTTTTCTTTTCTTGAAATTGTACCTCAGAATTTGTTTTAGGATAGTATAGCCTAAGTCTTTCTTGGGTCTGGAGAAATGGCTCAGGCATTGAGAGCACTGGTTGCTTTTCCATAGCAGCTGGGTTCATTTCCCAGTGGCAGCTCACAACTATGTGCAACCCTGCTTCCAGGAGATCTGACACCGTCTGCTGGCCTGTGTGGGCACTACACATATGGTGAACATACATACATGCTGGCCAAACTCCCATACATAATACAAATTACAAAACTCATATATATATATTAGTATAGTATATATACTATATATAATATAAATAATATAATAAAATAATAAATATATATAATATAAATATATTATTTATACATATATACAAACATAAATACATACAAATAATAAAATCTAAAAAAAAAGTCATTCTAGTTCTCTTTTAAATAATCCACAATTAAACATATCCAGGCGACATTTGCAGCCACAGAGTTTAATTTTCATCTCTCTGGTCTCAGGATTGCTGACGTCCCCACAGGTTTAATTTTTACCTCTCTGGTCTCATATGATTGCTGACGTCCCCACAGATTTTGCTTTATGTTTGGCAGTATTTGTACTTTAAACGCTCAGCTTCTTGCCTTGTCCCCAAAATAGAAATGTTTTCATAAGACTTACACTTGTAGAAAGTTCTCTTTTTCTTTGCTTTCCATCTCTCTAGGCTCTTAGCCCTTGATTGTCTTTGCGCTTATAAACTGAATTTTAATTTAATTTAAGATGTACCACACTTTCTTGTTTCTGGTGGCTATACTGATATTCTAAAATTCACTGACAGCCTGAAGCTATGGTTAAATTCATCATTTTAAGGATTTTATTTAACCTTGTTAGTAAAATGTTAAGGAGAAAAATAGCATATGCACACATTTCAAATTATAGAACCAAAGATAAAAATGTCTCCTTTTCTGCCTAGTGTTCCAATCTTAGTAATTTTTTCTAAGGAAAGTTGTAGCTTGTTATGCCTTTCCATATATGGCATATATGTAGAATATTATTTCAATGAATCCTATAGTATATTAGGTTCTGTTCTATAGTATATAGGTTCTGTTCCTCTAGAGAACACATAGACTATTAAACAGGATTTGATAAACTGGTTTACAGAATGTGGGCTGGAGAGTCTCATCAGTGGAGGGGCAAAGATACCCCTTATCTGCTTGGTCCATGAAACTGTAGGTCTCAGCATTTCCAGTCCCGTCTCTAAGGAAGCTTAGAATCTCTGGAGAGTTACTGGCATGTGGTAGGAGCTGGCCTTGACTGAGCCGAGGACAGCAGTGGCAATGGCAGTAGCCATGCTTCCTGAGAAATGAAAAGCAAGGCAGGTGACATTGCTTCCTTTCTTTATGTCCCTGACATACATTGGAAGGCACCATTCACTTTGAGGGAAGACCTTCACCCTCAGTTAATACTCTTTGGGGACACTAGATTTTATGTCTTAGATCAGTGGTACTCAGTCTTCCTAATGCTGGAACTCTATAGTATTCACATTGTAGTGACTCCCAACCATAAAATTATTTTGCTGTTACATCATAACTGTAATTTTGCTAGTTATGAATTATAAATATTGATATAAAAGGTATCTTATATGCACCCCCCCCCAAAGGGATCATGACCCACAGGTTGAAAACTGCAGTCTCAGGTAGCTCTACATGCTGACCATCCAGATAAACCATAGCTTGAGCATGCCACACACTTTTGATATTTCTAAACATATGTTGTCCTTCCTTACTCCTACATCTTTACTCAAGTGTCCCTCACATACTTACACATACACATATCTGTGTAATGAACCGCAGATACTTCTTCAAAATGTTTCTCTCAATCTTTTTAATTTTCTTCTTTGTTAACTTAATTTATCAGATCCTAAGTCTTTTTAGAATGACAGTATAACTATACCATTCTTTCATTTTTTTCCTACTTAAAGGCCTACAGCATTTTAATAGCTTTATAAACAAAGCTAAACAAACCAAACAAACATGCCCGAGTCTCGCTCTGTGACTCAGTCGTGTCTGATCCCGGATGTGAAGCTCAGGATGGTCCCAACCTGAGAGCTAAAGGCATGTGCTACTTACTACAACAGGCTCTTTGATAGAATTTAATCTTACCCATTAAGATTTGTTGATTCATTCTGTGTGCTTAGTGCTTTGCTAAGTATCATGGTGAAGTTTAATGGACGTATAAGACACTATCTTGATCCACATGAGGTTAAGATGTAACTGAATGTGAATAAACTGGTTATTAACCCACAGTAAAGTGGTAGTGGTGTGAGGAAAGGTTTGGAATGGGCCTTAAAGATCTGATTTTAGAGAGCATAAAGATCTTTATGGACAAGAACTCAGATGTAAGTGCAAGACAGATGATAGGTGAAAAATGGTGTGTGTGTGCGTGCGCGCGTGTGTGTGCGTGCGTGTGCACGCGTGCGTGTGCGTGTGTGTGTGTGTCTGGAATCATGAATAATTAAGAGGAGTAGAAGTAGTGTAGGGAGCTTAGAGCTTATAATTGAAGAAGTCGATCAAAGAAGCCATATTAATTGTGAGGAAGTTGGTGGAGGCAGTCAGGATTTGTTGAAGGAAAGAGGGCCTGCTTTTGGTCCTGGCCGCCCGGCTAGCTTACACATGAAATAACCACACAGAAATTGTATTAATTAAATTACTGCTTAGCCCATTAGCTCTAGCCTCCTGTTGGCTAACTCTCACATCTTGATTTAACCTGTTTCTAATAATCTGTGTTCACCACGATGTCATGGCTTACCTGGAAAGATGCAGCATGTCTGACCTGGCAGCTGCATGGCCATTCTCTCTCGATGCTTTCTTCCTCCCAGCACTCAGTTCTGTCTTCTCTGCCTTCCTAAGTTCTGCCCTATCACCAGGCCCAAAGCAGTTTATTAACCAATGAAAGCAACACAAATACAGAAGGACCTCCTACACCAAGTGTTTACCATCAGAGTAGATCAGAGCAATGAAGAAGAGGTCAGCTATAAGGCTTTTATTTGGCAAATCAGTACTGCCTGCGCTCTTGGCTCAGTAATTCAAGGCTTCCAGGAAAACATTCCAAATGTTTGGTATTCAAAAGCATAGGAAAATGGACCAAAATGACATTTTGAAGTAACATTTTTTACTTTCTTTCTATTCCTGCCTGTGACACCTTTTCTTTACAAATTAAATTCTGTGGAGGGTGAGGATGAGAGGATGGTGGGTTCTTCTGCAATCAGACATAAGAGCCCTTGATTGGGTTCTTTTCAGTTGAATGAGCTGAGAGATCTTAGAATCAGAACAGATTGTTTTTTCTTTTAAGTTTATTTGTATTAGTTTTAATTATGTGTCGGGGTGTGTGTGTGTGTGTGTGTGCATGTATGAGTGTGTGTGTATGTTTATGTGTGTATGTGAGTTCAGTGCCTGTGGAGGCCAGAACATTCGATTCCCAGAATTGCAGTTACAGGTAGTTGCAAGCCACTTAACATGGATGCTGGGAACCGAACTCAGGTCCTCTGGAAGAGCAGCAAGTCTCTTAACCCTAAGTCATCTCTTCAGCCCCTCAACCCAATTCTTAATCATGATTCCTGTAGATTTCAAGAAATTTTGTGGGTAGTCTTCTGTGGTTCATGAATATTTTTGGAAAAACATGCAAGGTTTGAAATTATGTGTATTTTCTAAAAAAGAGTCTCAAGTTCTAAAATGAACTTCAGACTATCCCACCCAAATTACTTAAAAGATTTACTTCTCATCAGAGTTAAGTCTCATCAGAGTTGGGAAATCACTAACTAGAAACAAGACAAATGATTATGGTGTGTTGACCATATACAGTTGTCCTAGTCGTTGTCATACGTCATGCAACTTTCAGTGCCTTCAGTAACTTTATGCATTGTCAAGATTTGATTATACTCATGTTAGGAACGGAGACTTCGTTCAGCAATATGTATTCAAGTTTTCGTTTAGACATACTTATTCATTTTATGAAGGTGATTGTTCTGATGATATTTGTTGCTTTCTTTATAATGTTAATAATGCCTTTGGGCTTATATAGCTTTGAGTTATTCTCTATTCTGTATTGTTTCTCTGAATTCATTGTAGTTCAAGAATGCTGAATAGGTTCAAATTATTCATTAACTCCTTTTGTTGGTTAGACTCTCCTGGTTTAATATGGATTCTTAGCCCCTGTTTTGATAAGGTATAAAAAGCACACTTGATGAGTTACCATGCTACCCTATCTTTGTGACTAGTAAGTATACACATAGGAAGGCTTAGTGATGGAACTCAGTAGTCTAGTAATTACCTTGACTTAGTAAGAATTTCTTTGTTATGGCCTTAATGATGATTTATATAGTTTTCTTAAATGGACTTAGTGTTTAAAGCTTTGTGTAAGGGATGGGAATATAACTCATCAGCGGGGCTATTGCTTATCATATCTAAGGCTTTCTGTTTGATTCCTAGCACTACCAAAAAAATTTAAAAATAAAAGGATATTTGGGATTATGTAATCTTTTTCTTGGAGGTGTTCAGATAGCTAGCAACTATACGCTTTAACCTAATGTTTTCTTTCCTTTCCATTTTTATTTGGTTTTATTTTGTTTTATCAATTTTTACTATCTTATTTTCAAATAAGAATAAAAATCATGAAATGATAGAAACCAAATGAGAAAACACTAAAACCATTTTTCCTTCTATAGGTTGCTCTCTGATTCTCAGCAGCTGGATATTTTAAGAAAAGCAAGGTCTTATATAAAACAAGAAAAATTTGATGAAGTAGTAAGTATATGAGCACTTGTGGTCAGGGCAGGGTAAACTATATGTAGGGAGAACATCAGGCAGACTGGAGATTTCCTGAGGAGCCTTTAGCCTTAGACATGCTTCTTATTTCAGGCAGTCTATGACTGCAGGTTTCTACTTTGGCTTTAGAAAGGAGCTGTATTGCTGTTTTTGTTTGCTTGTTGTTTGTTTTTTTCCAATGAAAAAACAAATTTCAAGTAACCATCATCCTCTTATGAGGGTGCAGAGCACCACATTTGCCACTTACAGTATCACACTGAAGCATTTATCTAATTATTTTCTATCAATAAAGAATCGGGTGTCATATATCAGGGTGAGAACCTGAATGATCAGAGAAGTGTAGAAGCCACCAGTGATTTTCTTTTTCTTCCATTCCTCCATCAAGAACTTCTTGTCTCCTATTTGTCCCCAATCCAAGACCTCTATGGTTAATTTTGGTAAACTAGTGGTTAACTCTGTCCTCTGACTCAATGTAGATGGAAGTTTCTGTCCTGCCCGGTCCCATAGCCATTCAGTCCCAACAAAACACACAGAGGTTTATATTAACTATAAACTGGTTTACCTGTTAGCTCAGGCTTATTATTAGCTAAATCTTACACCTTAAATTAACCCATAATTTTTATCTGTGTTTAGCCTTGTGGCTTCGTACCTTACTCAATAAGGTATTCTCATCTTGCTTACTTTCCATCTGGCTGGTGACTGCAGACTGAGCCTTTCCTCTGGTCCTGCAGCCATTCAGTCCCAAAGAAATACACAGAGGTCTACCTTAATTATAAACTGGTTGGCATATTAGCTCGGGCTTCTTATTAACTTTTGTAACTTACATTAACCCATAATTCTTGTCTGTGTTAGCCACTTGGCTTAGTACCTTTTATCTGTGAGGCATTCTTGTCTTGCTTCTTCTGTGTCTGGGTGATGACTGCAGACTGAACCTTTCCTCTTCCCAGAATTCTCCTAGTCTGGTCAACCTGCCTATACTTCTTGCCTGGTTACTGGCTAATTGGTGTTTTATTAATCCAATAGAAGTGACAACTCTTTACAGAGTACAAAAACATTATCCTACAGCAACTCAGAGCAAACTTTATTGTCAGAATGCAATCAAACACCACACATTTCCCCTTTTTGTCTAAATAAAAAGGTTTTAAGTAACATAGTAAAACTATATATAATAAGTATGATAACTATATTCAACTACATACAGGTAAGAATTACATTAACAATGTCTAGTACATTTGCATTTGACAATTTCAGAGAAAGTACTCCTTTATCTATCCTATTTTGGTGAGTCCAAATTTTTTTTTACCTAATTCACATTGTATCCTAACTTGCATTACCAACCCAAAACCTTTTTTCTATATCTTTCAACTTTATAAACTTAACACCTCTTTTGTGAGTTTATTTTCAGAAATTGGTAACAAAGAAAACTATAGCTATAACTATCTAGTATTCAACTCCATTAGAGACCTGAGAAGGAAAAATATTACCTGAGCAGAGCAAACAACTTCCAAAGCTAAGAAATGACAGAAACAGCTGACTGCTGGAACAGTCATCCACAGTTCCTCTGTAATGTTGGGGAATCCATCTTTGGCCTGTTACAGGCCTAGAACATTTGAAAGACATTTCTGTGAAGCAGGAATTTTGAAGGACTGTCTGTCTCACCTTGTCTTGGCAAAGTTCTGTAGTCACTTTCTTTTGTGTCCTGCTTGCCCAGTTTGGACAGCATTCTATCAGCAGTCAAGGCAAGGACAGTTTCTTGCCTGGTAGCTTACTTTGCCACAAAGAAAGTAAACTCCATATGGAATTTCTTTGATTCCCATTATCTTCTTTGAAGTAGATTGGTGCTGCCAGGAAGAGACATGTCTCACTGCTATAAAAATCTGTTATTAAAACATCTTAAATGTTTCCATATTCTGAAGACCTCTCAAGTATTTGAAGACTACCTATCTATTTAAAATATATTTGTTTGACCTTGAAAACATGACATGCCTATAAGTTTGACTGTAATAGGTGACTAACTACTAACCTGCATTTTTTTATCCTAAATAGTTTGTAATAATAACTTTCAAGAACTAGAAATTTATATTACATTGTTAAATGAGCTGCATAGATACAATATCTTAAGCCAGAGCAGAATTGTATGTTCAGTATGTTCTAACAAATATAGCCTTAAATTTGTATCAATATACAAAATATCTTAAACAAGAGTAGAAACATATATACAGTATAACAAAAATAATCTCAAATTTATATCATTATATAAAAATCTGTACCAACATAAAATATTTAAGAGTAGTAGTTGATTTTTTCGATTAAGAGTAGATTCATTAATCTACCGTATCATTTCTTTTTTTAAAAAATATTTATTTATTTATTATGTGTACAATATTCTGTCTGTGTATATGCCTGAAGGCCAGAAGAGGGCACCAGACCTCATTACAGATGGTTGTGAGCCACCATGTGGTTGCTGGGAATTGAACTCAGGACCTTTGGAAGAGCAGGCAATGCTCTTAACCACTGAGCCATCTCCCCAGCCCTACCATATCATTTCTATATCCCTCTTTTTTCTTTTCAGAATGAGATCCCTGAATCTAGTGTCCTTTGTTCAGCTTTTTTTTTTCCCTGACCATTACTAATAACAACTGTAACCAACCCCAATTGAGAATATCCATAACCGAATGACCGAACACCATCTACCGCAGCACTGGGGAATGTGGCTGTTGTGTTCTCTAGGTCTGGGGGCTGACAGCATATCTAGATAACCCTGATACAATTGCAATACTGGGAGAGCTCGCTGTGTCATTTGTTGACAGTCTCTGTGGAATGGGAAAGTGTAGGGCTGGTATAGTCGTGAGCCTGAACCATCATAGCTAACCTTGAAATTGTCCTGAGCAGTTGGTAGTCCAAAGCTTATCTTTGGGTTCTATTAGTCAACTGAGATGTGTTACCACAATCCAGGTGCATTCATTGTTGTGGGGCCCAATAAACTTTTGGAGACTTCAGAGGTCGCTGTTAGGAATGTTCATGGTTCAGTGTAGAAAACTTAAAACATTTTAAATGCCATATGCAACAGATCATGGAGAGGTTAAAGGAACACACTTGTTAAGTACATCCATAATACAAAAACTTAATTCCTGCTTATCTGACAGAGACACAACCCCAAAATCGTGTAGAGAAAACTAGATTAAGCCTTTTTGTCAGATTTGTTGGTACCCTATATGACCATTAATATTCTGACAAAAGGTATACACATACACACACATATCACTTTTTGGTTTTGTTTTTTGTTTTTTTTTTTTTTTTTTTTTGAGACAGGGTTTCTTTGTAACTCTGGAGCCTGTCCTGGTACTAGCTTTTATAGACCAGAGTAGCCTGAAACTCACAGAGATTCTCCTGTCTCTGACACCCCAAGAGCTGGGATTAAAGGCATGTGCCACCCTCCTTTTTCAAAACAGAGGCGCTAAATCTAATCTCCTTTGTTTAGCTTTCTTCCTGACTATTATCCATAACAATTAGTAACCAACACTCCAAACAAAGACAAATATCCATATTCTATTTTTGGGGAATGTGGGGGTAGTTTTCCAGGCTACTTCCTGCTATTTTATAATTTTTTAATTATAATTTAAAATTTTAGACTTCCTTTGGTAGTATTTGAACCCGGGGCTTCTCATATGCTAGGCAACCACTCTGCCACTAAACTACACACCCAGTTCACTGAACTATTGTTCTTTTCTAACATTTTGTAATTTTGGTGATATTTTACAGTAGATTTGCATAATATGATATGAAAGTAAAATATAATGCATATGCACACATGTTTACACATGTGTATACACATATGCATTTCCTTTACTTGGTCTAATGCTAAAGACCTTCGTTTCCTGTATGTGTCATCTGAGAACCATTTCTGCACAATGAATGCTTTCAAAGACAGTATAGATTACAGACAGTTTCCATTAAAATGCCCTATTTTACCAAATTGAAAAATCTGTTTTATTTTGAGACTTTTTTCTTTCATGTTTTGCAACAAGAACCTCACAGTTGAAATCCTTTCCTAATCCTCCCATCTGTAGTTACTCACGCTTAGTCGTTTGATTCTGTGGAACGCCAGTTTTCCTGGGTTAGGGCAACTTGACTTCTATTGTTTCACTGCAACTTCTACTTATGTTTTGTCCCCCTAGGTCTCCCTCTGCGAGGAGCTGATTGATCTCGCATTGAAAGGATTGTCCTATTATCACACTTACGACAGATTCTTTCTGGGCATCAGTGTTGCTGTTGGTTTTGTGGGATGGATGTCTTATGCTTCTTTGTTAATCCTCAAGTCTCATTCTAATCTCACAAGGAGTGCTAGGACGGAAGTTAAGGTAAGTCTGGACAATGTAACAAAGGTTCAGATGACAGTATCAAAGTCACCAGGAATAAGGATTAAGAAACTGAATCAAATCATGTATAGTGAGTTCATAGAATATGTAAGTGAAGAGTAAGTGAACTGATGTGTCTGTCCTTTGCTTTCTTTTGTTTTGGCTATGTTTTCTGTTGCATCTGTTTTATCGTGCATTGGTCACACTGCTCATAGTAAGTGTTCCGCATCCTTCTAGAGAAGTCATTAGGAGCTGCTTCAGGGCTCAGAGAAATGCTCGGAGGTGGAAAGTGCTTACTGCTCTTGCTGAGGACCTGACTTTGGTTCCTAGATTTCATATCGTGTGGCGCACAATGACCTGTAACTTCAGTTCCAGGGATTCTGATGGACCCTGGTGTCCCTGGGCATCTGATTACAAGTGACACATAAATTCATGCATGCATATACCCATGCACCTTAATAAATAAATCATAAAAAACAAAAACTACTCCAAGCCAGGCATGGTGGCACACACCCTTCATCACAGTGCTCAGGAGACAGGGGCAGGTGGATTTCTAAGTTCAAGGTCATCTTCTTCTACACAGCAAATTCCAGGACAGTGTGGGCCACACACGAAACCCTGTCTCAAAAACCAGAAAAACCGGGGCTGGAGAGATGGCTCAGCGGTTAAGAGCACTGGCTGCTCTTCCAGAGGTCCTGAGTTCAATCCCCAGCAACCACATGGTGGTTCACAGCCATCTATAATAAGATTGGGTGTCCTCTTCTAGCCTGCAGGCACACGTGGAAGGAATGTTGTATACATAATAAATAAATAAATCTTAAAAAAAAAAAAAACAGAAAAACCGAAAGCAGTATATTTACCATCATTTCATATTGAAAGCTAGGCAAACAATAAAGTCATCATTCACATATTAATTAATTAATAAATATTAAAAAATTAACATAATATTTATTATATTCCTGACTTTATTCCTCTTTCAACTTACTATAAATTCCCAGAATTTTTCTTTACCTTGTTTTGAGAAAACAAGTCTAGCCTGCTATGCTTTCAATGAAAGGAAGAGGTCAAACTTCTAAACAAGTGTGATCCTTTAATACAGTTCATCATGTTGTGGTGACTCCCAACCATAAAATTCTTTTCTTTGCTACTTCATAACTGTAATTTCACTACTGTTACAAATTGTGCTTTCTGATTATCTGAAGTGACCTTTTTGAAAGAGTCATTATAATTAACTCCTCAAAGGGTTCTGACCCATAGGTTGAGAAGCACTGCTCTAACTAGACTCTAACAGTACATACTTGGTTTTACTGCTTTAGAACACTTCCCTATCTTAAAGTGTGTTTCTGACTATCATTTACCAGGCAGAGTATCCAACCTCCATTTCCTAAACTTCATTCTCTTTCATGATTATTACCATGTTGAAATCCTCTAGAAAGGAATGTATTCTGCTAGTATATTTTTAATAATAATCGTTATTATATTATACCACATTTCTAGTGGTAACTTTTATCATTTTATATTTTGTCTGTAACGTAAGGAGAAGAACATTATTGCTTAATTTCAATTCTTTACAGTTCTGTAACACATCTTGTATAATTTCCAAGTAATTTTAATTATTCCACTGTATTTGAAATTGACTGTAAAGGGAATTATTTTCTACATATTAGAGAAATACACAGAAATGATTATGTTTTGGTAATGGAGAGATGCATCTAGGAATTCTACTGAGTCCTTGAAATGTATTCTGCCTTCTTTGCCTCTAACTGTGCCCTGTAACTGCTGTTCACAAAAGATGAGACTGAGCTGAGGGAATGAGCTAACTTGGTAACAGCCTCCCAGACAGGGTGTGGGGGACTGAGGTCTAGGCCAGAGACTCTTGTTTCTGCTCCTCTCGCTGTTCAGAACATTAGAAAAGAAGATATGATACTTCTGTTAATGTGTCAAGAATTCGTAGTTGATAGTTCTTTTTGTTTATTAATTGAGTGTATAGAACAAGGCTAGGTATTCTACAGAGAAATATGATGGTCAGATTTTACCATGGAAACTCTTGCTATTAAAGTAGGTAAGAAACACACATGGCCACACTCCATGATATTGGTCACTGCATATCATACTACAAATGGCAACCTTAAAATATGTTACGTGTCTAATATGATACTGCAAGAATTGCCATGTTTTAAATAAAAGGCAATCCATCATAATGATAATGGGGAAAAAAGTAAGTCTTGTTGTGAGTTTATTTTTAAAGACTTATGATTTTTATTTACCTGTATGTATGTGTATAGGAGGATATCTGAACATGAGTGAGGATACCTATGGATGTGAGAGACAACAGATCAGTAGCTAGAGTTATAGGTGGTTGTAAGCCATCTAGAATGGGTGCTGGTATCTGAACTTGGGTCCTCTGCAAGAGCAATATACATTCCATCTTTTACATGTAAACCTTACCCTGAATGCTTGCTTTATGAATGTTGTTAAGTTTAATCTCACTGCAACTTTGTTGGTTATGATTCTCATAATATGGAGGGAGATTGATGGCTTAGATAATTCTGCCATATTGTATCAACTCTAGAAAGTCTAAATGTTTTTTAGACACTCTTATATCTTGTTGAGGGAGCTGCGGGCCTTGTTCCTGCCACCCAGCTCACAGCCGCCTGACTAGCTTATGCCCCAAAATAACAACACACAAACTGTATTCATATAAACACTGCTTGGTCCATTTCTATTAATGTGTGTAGCACCACGAGGTGGTGACTCACCAGGGAGATTCTAGCCTACATCCATCTTGGGTCAGAGCTTCATTGTGTCTGCCCTGAAGAGGAGCGGCATGGCATCCGCCTCATTTCCTCTTCCTCCCAGCATTCTGTTCTGTTTACTCCACCCACCTATGTTCTAACCTATCAGGTCAAGCAGTTTCTTTATTAATTAACCAATGACCTTCCTCCATCAGTATCTTATCTTTCATTTATTATTATATTATTTATTTCAAAATAGTATGAGTTATAATCTTTTACAATCAATTGTAGTCTAGCCCCTTTCAATTTTTAGAGATCATATTTGTCCATATCCATTTGAATTTGACCTTATATCCCCTATCATTTTGCTTTGGGACCTCCACTGGTGTCTCTTACATCTTTATTTCTTGTGATGCCAATTGAGAAAGTCTATAATTGCTGAAACTAATGCAAAAAAGAATAAAAATAAAAATAATAGCCATCATTTAATATGTGGCAATAATGTTCTAGTTACTTTTTTAAGCCCTGTGGAATCTGATTTTTTTATTATTGATGATTAGTTTACATTTATTGTCCTCATATTATGGATAGAACAAAACTTTGTCAAGGAAAGCTTTGTACTTTGGACTGATCCCTCCTACATTAGCTGTTACTCAGGAAAATGCTGTGCAGACATGCTCACAAGCCAGTCTGACGAGCAGGTCCTCAGTTGAAGTTCCCTCCTCCCAGGTGTGTAAATTTGACAGCCACAATCGCCGTCACAATATCATAGCCAGTTTATGAACTTGAACCTGAGCTCTTAGCTACAGTGCTCTGTTTCAGCCTTTTTTACATTGATATCCTGACTTATCCTTGATTCTTTCTTCAGAATATTTAATGCCAGTAGAGAAAAACATCAAAAAGAGATGTGACATATTTAATATTTTCTTCTTTCTTCCTAAATTTGTGTGCTTCTATAAAGAGACTCTTAATTCTCATTACATTTACAAAAGAGCACCCCCCCCCATTCCTTTCTTCTCTCTAGGCATACTCAGTGTCATCTGAAGGAGCTCAATTACTTTGTATCATTTTGTAATCACTGCTTCAGACCCTAGGACTCTAGTTTTTAGCATTATTATGTTCCCTTAAACGTTTCCAGGTCTTGGACGGTGTCCCTGACCCTTGCACTTACACCTGGCCCAGAGCACCAAGAGGCCTTCGGTGGGGCTGAGGACAGTAGACGTAACTGAAGGGTCCACTGTGTGTAGGTGTAGGCAGTGGGAGAGAGAAGCAAATGGACAGCATGGCAGGTTGGAGCTTGGTAGAAAGAAAGTTTGTTTCCAAATGAAGAGCGGTTTCTTGAGTGATAAATAGGTCCTTTTGAGCTTGCCATAGAACCCAGTCAAGATTTAAAAACATTGTTTCTAAGAGCAACTATGTTCAGAGTTCTGAATGAGTTATTTACAAACCAACTTTAGGACCATTGCCAGTCTGCAGCTGAGAATTACTTGACAGTAACCATTCTAGGATAGCCAGTTTCTTTTCAGATATGCTATTACCCTCAAGTGATAGATTTTCATTTTGGAAGAATTGTAATTAATCATCTAGTGGAACAAACTTTGGAAGAAAATATTTTTTCCTTTATAAAATCTTAACAACTATCAATTAGCAAGGGTTTCAATGTATTTGAATGTTCCGTTTCATTTTCAGAAGCCACACCGTCTTCTGCCATGTAGCTTTGTAGCTATTGGTATTTTAATGGCATGCTTTCTGCTGATCCAAGCCTGTCCCTGGACTTACTATGTGTATTGCTTGCTGCCGGTGCCAATATGGTACGCAGTTCTAAGAGAGTAAGTACCATTTCTTTTTCCTTGTTTTCCACCTCACTGACAGGTAATTCTGTATTTAAAATGCATTAGGTTTTGTAGATGAATTTTTCTTTGGGCCACCAACTCACAAAAAATGAAATAGAGACTTAATTTTCCTTGGCATCCCCCAAAAAGCCTGTCCTTCCACTCTGCCAAAACAGAAAAAGCCACACCACTTAAAACCCCTCCCCACTCTTTCTGGTGCTTCTGGCTTTCCCTCCCGGATACCCTCTGATGTTCTATGATTGCTTTCTGTCAACTAGTGACTCCTGACTCAAGGTTAATTTTATTTAATTAACACAAATGCAAATTTAAGTTTGCAGTGTGATTAAACATCCCCCAGCATGATTTCTATAGCATAAATCATAAAAGATGGCTATCATACTCTCAGATGTCCAAACACTCTCATTTTGTTTACAATGTTTGCACAGTAAATGTCCCTTTTGTCTCACATTTTGATTTCACTTGTATTGCTTTGATAAGCAGTGAGCCTGTTCTTTTCTTTGAGTAGTCTTCAAACAAAAATATAGTTGATATTACTGTGCTGTGGCATGAGCACCTTGCATCTAGAATTTGTTTTACCTTGTAGTTCAGAATATCTTTATGTTTTCTTTCCATACACTTTACTTCTTTCTTAGCCATCAAGTAAATGAAACTGTAATTATATCACATCTATTAATGTGTGCTTCTTGATGGTTTAAAAGTGGATTCTTGCTATTACATTCAACCTGGAAAGGAAGGCACTCAGTCAGGTTCAAACACTTTTAAGGGCATATTTAAGATGGCATAACAAGCTGGGTGTGATCGTGCATGCCATGATCCCAATACTGGAAAGACAGAAGCAGGACAGTCGGGATTTCTAGGTCTGGCTTTATTTGGAAAAGGCTTCCTAAAAAGAAAAAAACAACAAAACAACAAAACAAAAACAAAAACAAAAAAACCAAAGGAACTATCTAGCTTGTATGTCCTGACACTATACATTTTTTATTCTAATTTTTGTTGATTCTAGCTTTGTCTTCTATCTTCTAAAAATATGTTTTAAAATATTGAGACATTAAAATACAAGGAATAAAATATGGAAATGTTTCAGATATCTTTAAATATAAGGGAAAAAGATACATGTTGCAGTACATAGCAGAATCTCCATTTTAATTGAATTAGGCTGTTAGTTTGCCTAGGTTTTTTTTTTTTTTTTTTTTTTTTCTGAGACATGGTTTCTCTGTAGCTTTTAGAGCCTTTCTTGGAACTCATTCTGTAGACCAGGCTGGCCTTGAACTCACAGAGATCTGCCTGCCTCTGCCTGATGAGTGCTGGGATTAAAGGCATGCACCACCACCACCCAGCACTTAGTTAGCTTACAGTTTTGTTTTGTTTTGTTTTGTTTCTGACATCATTTCTCTGGTTTCACAATTTTCTAAAAGGTTTGCTAAGCAGGAAGAAAATTCTGCTCTACTAGAACCTCTTCTGAATTATCAAATATCAAATAGCTTAATTGTAATATATGTATGTTTAAAATTTAAGGGAACGTGATTTTGCAGTTATATTTTATTGCGTTCTTTTAATAGGTTGCATGGAAAATAAAGCATAAAAAGAGAGTTTTCAAGCTGGATAGATAGCTTCAGGGGTCAAGGCCCCCATGGTAAAAGGAACAAACAGATTCCTGCAGGTTCTTCTCTGACCTCCACATTACACACATAGATACACACACAATAAGTAAATAAAAATGGAATATCTAACCCATTTCTCCTAGAATAAAACCCTCCAAAATGACTTTATTTAATCTTTTGTGCTTTTTTGCTTATTCACAGGGGAAACAAAAGAGATATTCTGCTTGTGGTACTGACTTTTCTTTCTCAGGTAGCTACTTAGTAGTGTGATAATGTCCTATCCAACAGCCATTGTTTTCCATCAGAAAAAGGTCATAAACCCAATGACACTGGCCTTTATAATTACCTACTTAATGTTCTGCAAATGCTAAAGTTTTTCTTCTCAGTAATGAAATGTAAAATGTAGTCAAGTATGTAATACATTTTTGGCGGTTATAAATTCTCAATTACAATTAGTGTACAATTAATGACATCTTAAATTGGGTTTGGAAAGGTTATTTGGCTCAGTTAAAAAGTGCAATTAAGCTGGGAGTAGTGGTGCATATCTGTAATCCCATCTCTGCAGGAGGCTAGGGCACAAAAACTGGCATTTCTGAGGCCAGCTTGAATGACTAAATGAAGTTTAAATGAAAGGCTGGGGGTTTAGCTTAGTGTCAGGGTGAATGTCTTGCATGTGGAAAGCCCTAGGTTTAGTTCTCGGTACTGAGAATAAATAAGTCAGTAAGTGCACTTAAGACTTTCACTACTCAGACTGTGGCTGGAGCCCAGGGGTAGATACAGGGTTATCCAGGTGAGTTTCATTATTTTCTTTCAGTTTGCATACATTTGGGTTCATTTTCTTTTCTTTCTGGTTTATCTGTAATGTATATACCTTTTGTTTAAACTAAGATAATACAAGAATGACTTATTGAGCCAGACAGTGGTAGTCCATTCCTTTAATCCTAACTTTTGGGAGGCAGAGTCAGGTGGATCTCTGTGAGTTCGAGGCCAGCCTGGTCTACCAGAGCTAGTTCCAGGAAAGTCAAGACTACACAGAGAAACCCTGTCTCGAAAAACAAAACAAAACAAAAAGTTTCTCTCTTACTTTACTTAAAGTCAGCTGTTAGGGTGTGAGTATATTCCCAACATCATATACAGAAATTTTAGCTTTAGTATGACAGCAGATTAATAATGATGAACAAACCACCCAAGGAACCTAAATAATACAAATAAATAAACCTTTAATACTGTAAAAAAAGAATACTTTATTGTCATTAATATTTATAGAATCTAAGCAAGTGCTTTTCATCATTCCCCCCAAATATTTACAGTTTTCTACCAATAAAAGTAAGCAAAGCCGTGAAACAAATTGCTACAGTTTATCTTAAATTTGAAATAATTTATGAGTGGGAATTTCTGGGACTTTCAGCTTTGCGCACTTTTTATTTTTTGGCATTATGTTGCTTATTTTAAAATGCTTTGCAGATTAGAAGTAATCATTTTGTAAAAAATCTTCTCAAACAGATATCAAGTTATTCAGGACCTGGTTGCCTCCCTGTTGACTTTTCCTCTGAGCCACGTTGTTGCCTGCTCGCTTGTCTTTATCTTGGGAATTGAAGTACTGGTAAGGACCCGGGTAGTCTGCATCTCCAGGTGCCTTGCATTTTCATACTGGTCTTACGTGACCTCACTCTTCATTTTCTTGGCAATATATCACCAGGTGTTCAGTTTCTTCTACCGCTACATGCTGACAGCCGGACTGATTGTGTTTGCTGGTTGGCCATTTCTCACTCAGCTGTGGGCCCGAGCAAAGGTATAAGTACTCATGCTGACAGCACAGACTGGTCATTGCTTTGTGTTGATGTGTGTTTGGCTCAAAGAATTGTTTTTCAGACGAAGGAGTGGAATGTAGCCTCATAAACAGTCAGGTCCTTTGGACGGGAGGGCTGACATCAACTGTTGGTCTCTGATTTCTATGTCTGTTCCTGTCAGAGTGAGCCGGAGATGTAGGAAGGCTGTAAAGGCAGAGCTGTCTTGTTTGGAGGGAGAAGTCTGGGCACTGCTGGAGCAGCAGAGTGGCCTAGGGGTCCACACTCCACCCTCTGCCCCGTTCACACAGTGCTTCCCTAGGGAAGTAGCATTGACCGGACTGAATGGGTTTTAAAAACACATGACCTTGGGAGGGAATTTGACCAAAGCACATTAATGAAAATTTCTAACAATACACAAACCCAAAAAAGATAGTAAATATTCTGTACGGTAACCATGTTTGTATTGGGTTGTCTTGACTGCCAGCTTGTCTCTTGGAATATCTATAGTGGGTTAGTCAAGGTCAAAGTCCCACTGCACTGCTGGGACTCTGAGGGGGGGGGGGCAAAGTGAGCAGCAGCATTCATTTCTCTCTGCTCTTGCTGCAGCATGACCAACCGCCTCAGGCTCAAGCTGTCATGACCCGCCCCCTTCTCTAGGAGAGAAAACTCTTCCTTCTTTAAGTTGCTTCCTACCGTACATTTTGTCATTACAAAAGTAACTAGCACATGTTACTTTCCATAGTAAATACCAGACTGGTTTTGATTTTAGTTTCACATTCATGTATTATGTTGGATGCTAAAAACAGATTTCTATACCATATTTGTCTAAATATATATATATATATATATTTTTTTTTTTTTTTTTATTGTAGATCACCTGCCTGAGTTGGGCTCTCTTCTCCTTGCTTCTGGCAGTGTTCCCACTGATGCCTGTTGTGGGTAGAAAGCCAGACATCTCTCTAGTGTATGTACAACATTGTTTTCCATTTCAGTAGAATTTGTCCTCTCCTGACACTGTGACATTGTGTGTGTGTGTGTGTGTGTGTGAGAGAGAGAGAGAGAGAGAGAGAGAGAGAGAGAGAGAGAGAGAGATGTGTTGGTGGGCGCCAGCCATATATATGTGGGTATATATACAGGGGGATATGAGACTCTTTGGATCTGAGGTTGTGGGTAGGAGCCCCCTTACGAGGGTGCTGGGAACTGAACTGCCATTATCTGGAAGAGCAGGAAGTCCCTTGCCTACTGAAACCACCTGTCCAGCCCCAATACCGTAACACTTTAATTCACTTTAATCTTGATCGTGAGTCTAACGTTGCATGGATAAACTTGAAAATACTAATGTAAAATTACTCGTTATAATCTCAGCCAATCACCTGCGAGGCATGATCTCTGTGAGATGCTACCAGACCTTCACAGGCAATGAAAGTGCATCAACATTTCCTGTACTTTGGATATTATGGAATCTGCAAAAATTTTAGTAACATGTGAACATGTTCTGTTGCTGAAGTGTTACCTCTGAGTGTGTCCATAGCAAATGCCATTGACAAATTCAAGTTTGTCTTATTTGAATTAAATTATTTTTACTCTTGGGGGGAATCTCTTTTTTAAAAGCTTTACATTTATTTTGTGTTGTCTTGATTTTATTTTAATTTTTAACATAATTCTTTATTGATTCTTTGGAAATTTCATATCAGGCTGTGTACTCTTGTTCACCTTGCAGTCCTTCCATGTGCCCCTCACCCCTACAACATACCCCCCAAAAACATTAAAAACAAAATGAAACAAAAGCTACTTTTCTCCTTGTCTTGCCAAGACCTCATCAATCATCCTAGTGTCGCCGGGATCTGTAGTGTGTCACGCAGTATACCTTTTGTCTAGTCAGCCCCACCTGCAAATTGTCCGCTCCAGTGAGTTTGATCTGGTTCAAGGCCTCTGGAACACCATCATTACTGGATCCTTATTGAAACTGGGCTATCCTGCTGTTGCCCTCAGTCATAGAGATCCTGTGGTTATTGCTCCTCAGGACCAGGCCATTCACTCTCTCCAGTAGGTCATAGATGAGGTAGATATTAAGATGGGCCAACCCAAAGCCCAGGATGAGGGTCTGGGTGGTAGCTAAGCTGGTCAGGGCCCACTGGGACTGCTTCCTCAGGCAAGGGCCTGAACCAGCTCTCCTAGGCCATGCCATTTGGAACAGATGCCCATGGTGAGGGGTGGGGATAGCTCTCCCATGGGGGTGCAGGGCCAGCTCTCCTTCTCCAGTGTTCAACAAGGGGCAGGGCCATTGTTGACTCATTTTGTTATGTCTGCTGAACTAGGAATCAACCCTGGGACCTGTACTTGCTAGGAAACTTTTCTATATTTATCCATTCAAACTGTGCAGAAAAAATTCTATGTTTTACATATGTTTCCAATGTTGATGGTACATGACGTACCAAGTGAGGAGGACAAATGTTAAAAACAATTGGTTGCCTTTGCCATGTGTGTGCATGTCCTTGTGTGTCTGTGCTTTACTAAGTTGTCTTTGTTTCATCTAACTGCTGCAGTTTCTTTTAATTAATTAATTAACTAATTTATTTATTTATGGGTGGAGCCTGTGTATGTAGTCCAGGCTGGCTTCAAACTCAGTGTCCTGCCTCAGCCTTCTGAGTACGGGGATTTAGCGGGGATTTAGGCATGAATACCATCCCCCTCCATTCTTCTTGTTATAAATCACATAAATCCTTCGCTGCTTACATCTGAGCCCTCTGGGCATTTTTTTTTTCAATGTTTTGAGACAGGATATCTCTGTATCTCTGGCTATCCTGGAACTTGCTTTGTAGACCAGGCTAGTTTTGAACTCAGAGATTTTCCTGCCTCTGCCTCCGGAGTACTGGGATTAAAGGTGTGGGCCACCACTGCCTGGTTCACTCTGGGAATTTTTAAAAGGAATTTTAACCTTTACTATATGAGGGTGTATCTTTTTTTAAGAGTTGGAAGATTAATTGAATATTTTAAAATGATTTGTTAATTTAAGAAATTCTTTATTAATTTTTAATAAACATTTATTTACATCCCGCTGCAGTTTCTCCTTCCTTCTCTCCTCCCAGGCCCTCTCCTCACACCCACTTTGTTCTCACCCCCAATTCACTCCTCTTCTGTTCTGTTTAGGAAAGGGCGGGTCTCCCATATGTATCAACAAAACATGGCATATCAAGTTGCAATAAGATTAAGCACCTCTGCGTATATTAAGACTGCGCATTGTGACCCAGTATGAGGAGTAGGGTGGCAAAGCCAGTAAACAGTCAGGGTCAGCCCCTGCTCCCGCTGTTCAGGGTCTTCTGGCGTCTCTGTAAAGCCCTTTCCTTCCTTTTGTCAGCTGTGGTCCATTTGTCTTGCTCAAGCAGTTTGCATAGTTAGGGGGAAGTTACAATATGCTGAAAGAAAAAAAATGCATAAATGGTCTCTGTGGATATTTGCCACTTGTACATTCCACTAAAGGCTGACTCAGAAAACAAATACATCTTCTAAAATGTGAAAAATCAAATTTGTGGTTTTGAAAATTATGGTGTTTCTCTCTAAACTTGATATAAGTTACTATTAATGTTAAATTTATGTTGGCTTCCTATAATTATTTGGAACTTATTTTTAGTTCATAGAGGAAGTTCCTTCTCCATTTGATCTCTCACAACAACTCCATCCTCTGATTGCAGAAACAGATACATGAACCATTTAAGCATAAAGTAAGAAGAACAGATAGGTGTATAGTGTCACCATCAGCTTCCTGAGAGCCGAGCGTACCAATGCAAAGGAGTTGCCAATGAGTAAAAATGCAATTTAGTTTTTGAAAGAAAGAGAAAAAGCAAACATTTTTTTCTGAGTTTTATTATAATACATCTTAAAGTGTTACTGTCTTATGATTCTCAGAGATTATTTGAAAAATTAAAACAAACAAATGTTTACCATGTTCTTGACCTATATCTAACCATGCATTTACACCTGCTTATAACAAACTCATTTTTTAAGTTCTCTTAATTTGAGTTCTACATTGTATCTTGAACATACTTTAATTAATATTAATCAAATTTTTATGAAGAAAGAAATAGAGCTAAAATTCCTTGATTTTAGTTACCTGTGATTTCAGTGACCATCTTCCTGATGGCCTAGAAAAGGAAATTAGCTACTTCATCATCTATAGGATATGTGTATGGTGATGTATTCCCTCAACACCTTTGGGTGAGAGATACCAGGACCAGTGACAGGAAGGAACTATTGGCCTAAGGGGATGCTGTGTGAGTGAGTCTCAGAGTTAGAATCTGCATGGCCCATGACGACAGTTCCGTGTGTTTGCCCAGTTCAGATTAAGAAGCTTTGCAGGTAGAGAATGACACGGAGGAATTAAAGTGTTTACAGTGAGCCCTGTCGTGTCCTGCTATTTCCACATTCCTCTGCCAGCTTCACTACTACTTCCTGTGGATTTAATCAGAATGCTTGAGAGTTCTGCGTTTGCGTAAAGTGTCTCTTGTTTTCATATACTTTCATTAGCATGCTTCTTTAGAAAAGTTTTAATGTGAACTATGTTTTGAAACAGCATGGGTGCGGGCTTGCTGGTTCTTCTGCTGTCCCTGGCTATTGTAACAACTCTCACAAAAAGAAAAACTACTTTGGCAAAGGAGGAGCTGTTGGTGCTTCTGTTACAGGTCAGTTACGGTTCAATAGTATGTCATACTAGCCATATAATAAAGTGTATCTTACCGTTATTATGCTCTTACACTCCTGTGTTCCTATCACTTAAGACTGTCACCTGGGAAGTAAGTTTTCTGTTTAAGTTTTAGCACACAGAAATAAAGCTAAATAGCAAAAGGTCAGTAAGACATAGCCAAAGATTCCCAGAGCAGCAGTTAAGGAGACTTTAGGCCATCTTTTTTTTTTTTTTTTTTTTTTTTTTTTTTTTTTTTTTTGGTTTTTCGAGACAGGGTTTCTCTGTGGCTTTTGGAGCCTGTCCTGGAACTAGCTCTGTAGACCAGGCTGGTNGGTTTTTCGAGACAGGGTTTCTCTGTGGCTTTTGGAGCCTGTCCTGGAACTAGCTCTGTAGACCAGGCTGGTCTCGAACTCACAGAGATCCGCCTGCCTCTGCCTCCCGAGTGCTGGGATTAAAGGCGTGCCATCTTTACTAACCAAACATGAGCTGTAAGTTCTTCCTCTGCACGAGATTCTGTGCCATCCCCACGTACACCAATTTGCTTGGAGGTGACGGCCCAGGAGATGGCTTGAGGTGGTTGCCAGCTGTGGTACAGCAGAAAGAACATTAACCTCAGTGTTTTAACATTTGTTGGTGCCCAGATATTCTGCTTACAGGATGTATGGTTTTCAGTAATTTAATGCCAGCTTGTGTTTTAATGTCAGTATAGCAAATAGTTAATGAGACTGTAAAAGATAGATTACGTAGTACCATATTTCATAAACTGATATAATTTTATATATAAGAATAAAAAGCACTTTTTAATAGGCTAATAATCCTCTTTAATATTTTTTGTTTTCAGCAATAGGCTTTATTTCTTATTTTAAGATTTGAATGTATTTGTTTTTATTATCATTTCTTTATTCCTGAGAATTTCATACATATAAACAATAAAATCTAATTATATCAATCCCTAATTTCCTCTGTCAGCTACTCTCATGTCCCCATGAATATGTTCCTCCTTCAGTTTTATGCCTTTTTTTGTTGGTTTTCTTTTTTAGCATTTTATACATGCCTATGATATGCTTTGGTCAAAACCACTCCCCTTTCCCTCCCTTTCAATTTCTCCCTTATCCCCCAACACTATTCTTTCCAACTTTGTATGTTTGCTTCTTCTTCTTCCCCTGGCCCCCCCACGGGTTTCTCTGTAGCTTTGGAGCCTGTCCTGGAACTAGCTCTTGTAGACCAGGCTGACTTCTAACTCACAGAGATCCGCCTGCCTCTGCCTCCCAAGTGCTGGGATTAAAGGTGTGCACCCCCACCGCCCAGCCATATGTTCGCTTCTTAAACCCACTGAATTTACTTTCTGCTACATTCCTGAAGAAAACTGACTATTCATCCTCCAGAAGCCATCAGTTGCCAGTAACTTCTCTGAGAGGGATGGGGCTTTATGTGCTCCCCACCCCGTGTGTGCTGGGATTTCTGCTGGCTTGATCTCCTGCGGGTATGCATGCAGTTGTGAATTCATGTATGCAGTGGTGCTGTCATGCCTGGCATTTACCTCTGGCTCTTACAATCTTTCCATCCCCCTTCACAACGATCCCTTACTCTCTGCATGTTGACCAAGCGTACACTGTATTGATCTCCATATACTATAAAAAATAGTGCCTGTGATGAGTGCTGAAAGATGTTCTGCTGTATTGGGTATAAAGATGAGAATTTAGGGGACACTTAGTATCCATTTAACAGAATAATAGTGCTAGGCTCCAATCTAGGGCCTGTGACCTCGCCAGTCCCAGGTTTTTGGTCCAGTTAGCAATACAAGGAATGAGCTCCATCTTGTCAAGGGGGGCAAGTCCAAGCAGAAAGTGGCTGGTTACTCCTGCATTTGTGCAGCGATTCCACCAGTGGGCCTGAATTGCCAGTCGCATCATTATTCAACTGGAAGGGCACACCGCTGGGCAAAACTTTGCTTGTTTTTCTCCCCCAATAACATGCATGGCACCTTCCTGCACTGTAAAAGCTAGGGAGTTGGGATGCAGCTTCCAGGTTGGTACCACTTAACTTCTCCATGTCCTATGACTCACATATGTGGAGTCTTCAGCAGAAATCTTACCATTAAGTTCAGGAGGGTAAATGAAAGCTATGACAATAGCCTATAATATTATTGAGAAGAGTCTGACCAACAACTTGAATGCCCTCCCTTGGCCCCATACTGGTTTCTTGCCATCTATTGGTACTCTCATTTAAACATACATATCCAAAGAATCAAATCGATCCTCCAGATAGAGGAGACAACATGCAGTATTTGTCTTTCTGGGTTTCAGGTATCTCAGAATGATTATTTTCCATTCTATCCATTTACCTATGAATTTCATTTTACTTTACAATTGAATAATATCCCATTATGTATATGTAACACCAAGTCCATCTAGTGCTGTACTTAGATGTATGGGTGTCAGCTTCCAATAGCTCCCCAGCTGGTGGCGATGCCTAGAGACCACCTCCCCCATCTACGCCATAATGTAGTCTGGCTTGCTCTTGTGCAGGTAATCATAGCGCTGTGTGTTCATGTGTGCAGTAGTCATGGCCGTCAAATTCAGCAATCGTAAATTGTGCTGTGTTTTTCTTACCCTTTCATCTGTTAGCAGCCCTCCAGCTTCTCTTTCCTAGCAATTAGAATAGAGTATCAGTGCACATGGGTGTTCAGGTGGCTTTGTAGTAGGACATAAGGTCCTTCAGGTGTATGCCCAAGAGAGGTACAACCAGATTATATGTCAGTTCTGTTTCTAGATTTTTAGGAACCGCCAGATTGATATCCAAAGTGTCTGCAGTAGCTTATATTCCCACATGAGTTCCCCCTTCACCGCTTCCATATCAGCTCTTCTCTCTGACCTTTAATGGATAATAACCATATCTGCAGCTCTAACAAAACTGTATGAGCCTCCTCAATGCTTTTTCTCAAAACAAAGCAGTGTGAAATAAAAATGTACCATGCTTAAAAGGCATAACAAGTTACATTCATTCTTGGAGAGCAATATTCAATGCATAAGTAGACAAGAAATTCTTTGTAAACATCCTTTAGAGCTTACGAACATATGTTTCACTAAAAAAGGCATACTTACTGGCTTTCCTCTAAAGCTGGGGTAGTTTTGACAGAATCTGCCTACAGTAATGAGAGCTTTGACAGGAGTGTGTGTTCCTAACTCTCACTCCGGGAGGGAAAAATATGATGCTTAAGTCCTTATATACTTTGTTAGAAACACTCCTGAGTGTTATAACTCCATTATAAAGTTCTTGCATTATTTTTAATAATTTGCTTTAATTCCTGTGCTGCCTGACATATTTTATTGATGCCAAGGCTTTTTTTTTTTCCTTCTCATTTTGGCATCTCTGAATTTAGAATACGTCTGTCTTACTTAGGGTTTCTTTTGCTGTGAAGCGACAACATGACTGTGGAAACTCTTATAAAGGAAAGCATTTAATTGCGACTGGCTTACAGTTTCAGAGGTTTAGTCCATTATTGTCATGGTGAGAAGCACGGCAGCCTGCAGGCAGACATGGTGCTGGAGAAGGAGCTGAGAGTTCTGTCTTGATCTCACTAGTCACGATGTGAGACTTCAGAGCCCGCCTCCACAGTGACACACTTCCTCCAACAAGGTCACACATCCTATTAGTGCTACTCCCTATGGAGGCCATTCCTATTCAAACCCCCACAGTGTCCTGTAATAGAATTAGAATTGCATCATTGCCTTATTCACAGCACTTTTTGTATCTTAATTTATGCCACAAGGGGACAAAATAAATTCATTTTATCTCTACAATTTCATGAGACCACTGATGTAAACTCTGAGAGCTTATTTTCTTGTGGTTATACTTTAGCTAATTTCTTTAAAATGGTAATCAGTTCACTGGTTCAGGGATCATTGTTGCGGGAGGTCCTTCCACTCCTCCAGCCTATAGCCGCTGAGATACCAGCCCATTGGGGCGTGGTCTCTCTCCCTTTAAAAAGGGGGCCACTGCCCTCTCCTCTCTCCCTCTTCACTTCCTGCTCTGCTGGCGACTAGACTCCCTTCCTGGTTGCGCAGAGGGCTGTTGTCTGGGATGGTGATCTGTAAGTTTTTTCCCCTTTAAATAAATACCACCCTGTTAATCATAATTCCAAATTGGTGTGGCATTGTTTGTGACTTACGCCTTCACCTAGTCATTTTTCTATATAGCTGGACAATATTTTTGCTTGTCATGAATATGGAATCTGTTAAAAGTGTTCAAGCCTAGCACGTCAGCACAAAGGGAGACAATGCATAAACTAAGGGAGAGACTACACTGAATAAAGCAGTATTTATGAAAACAGACGTCAAGCTGACGCCTCCGGTCCAGTAACATGTAATGAACACTTACACTGTCTCAGTTTCCAGGGCCAGCAAAAATGTGTTGAGTAAATAAATGCATGGATATTGTGTCCAGAGGAACAGAGGTGGGAAAGGCATTAAACTACACACTCTCTCTATTTGTATAATTTAAGAAATGTTCAACATTTGTGACAGATGCTTCTAAATAGAAACATTGATGAGGTACGCTGTAGTGCTCCTGAGAGTGTGTGTGCCTCATGCCATCCTCAGGCAAGTCTGGGGCTCAGCATGCAGTGTTAGCTTATAGCTCTGGAGCACAAGAAGGCAGCCTGGTCCAGTCCCAGCATTTCAGCCATGTTCCAGTTTTCCTCAGAGCACAATTCTCAGCGTTTTCTTTCTACTGTGTCACCTTTCCCTGCCCTCTCTTTGCTAACCGGTTTGCTGTGTGTTTTCAGATGCTGAGTACAGTGTTCTCTATGTATGTTGTATACAGCACCCACCACAGTCTGCTAAAGAAAGAAGGCCTGCCTCTTATGAATCAGATTGTGAGCTGGGCCACGTTAGGTAAGTGGCCCCTCGAACCAAATTGGAAAAATTTATCTTCAGTCTCTTAACTTAAAAATGATACCTTTATGTCTTTGTTGAACTGAAAGAAGCAGTTTTGATGAAGGAAAATGTAGCCAGCTATTATTTCTATTTCTTTATGGAATTGACAAAGAAAAGTAGAACTTTGGTGAGCACACATAGATTAATAAGAGTTACTTGATAGAATATTTATGGCTTGATGATTGGACTGTGGACTTATGTACATCTAATAACATCTCCTGAGTGATTCTAAAAGACGTTGTTTTTGAATATTCCATTCTGTATATGCAATGAAAGCAACACACAAAGGACCTCCTACACCAGTATTGTTTAAATTTGGTTTTGTTGTGGAATATCTTGTTTCTCCGTCTTCCACAACTCTGACATATGGTGAAGTCATTCCTTCCTGATCTTGATATACCAGGTGGCACACTACAACTCTAGATGCCTGCTTCTCTGACATTAGACATTATCAATGTCTAGAGCATTTGTTGTCTTTGAACTACGACATAAATGCTGAACAAGTTGCTGAACATTAAGTAATACATTTTATTTCATGAGAAAATAATAAATTATTTATTTGGGAGTTGATATAGTGATTTGATTTGGATAAAGTTGAGAAAATCTGAGTTATTTAACCCATAATATAATTAAAGCAAGGTGTAATTTTAGTTAAGAATGTAATATCTTTGTTTTCTTACAGAAACCCTGGCATTGTATTAAAGATCATACAAAGCCTAAATTGCATGAGTGGTGGTGGGTCTCTTGGGTCTGAAGAGCTGACACAGGACTCTTCTTTTCTTGCAGCCTCCTCGTTGGTTGTGCCATTCCTGAGTTCCACGGCTCTCTTTCAGCGACTCTCCAGCATACTTCTTTCCTTGATGCCAACCTACTTGCTTCTGAGCACAGGGTATAAATTTTTTTCTATTTAAAAAAAGTCTTTTTTTTGGAGAATTTCATGAGTACTATTTATTTCATTATTTCTGTGCCTTACTTTCCCCCTCCAACCCCTCCCATGCCCCCTCTCCTTCTCAAGTTCATGACATCTTCTAAGATTATTATTGTTGCACATATATGTATAAACTTTCCTTAAAATATAATTTCACAGTTGCAAATTTTAAATGCTAAATTGACTTTTCTCCTTTAGTAACTAAGCTTTGGAAATAAGAATCTTTTCTAAATATTGAAGAATAAATTATAAATATTTTATGGTTTTTTATGTGAGTAGGTAAAAGAGGCTCCTAGTTAGTTTCCCAGCCGCTTAACCCCGAAATAATCACACAGAAGTTGTATTAATTAAATCACTGCTTGGCCCATTAGCTCTAGCTTCTTATTGGCTAATGCGTACATCGGAATTTAACCCATCTCCACTACCAGCAGTTTTAGCATGCCTATCTCTGGCAGTGGCTCCATGGCTTCTTCTTGACTCCATCTCTTTCTCCTAGCATTCAGTTTAGTTTTCTCTGCCTAACTAAGTTCTGCCCTGCTATAGGTCCAAAGCAGTTTCTTTATTCATTAATGATAATCACAGCATAAAGAGGGGAAATCACATCAATATCTTGATCTAAAATTTTGTTTTGTTTTTCCTCATAATTTTCATAGTATTGTCTGTTATTTCTTTTTACTTGTAGTAATTGCTGAAATTTTATTTAATTATAGTATTAGGAAATCCTGTTGGATAATGGCAGAATTTTAAATCTGAAAGAGTTTTTTAAGAATGATTTTTATTTTTGTTGGATTTTTTTAAATATATTTTTCCATAGTGGTACAATCTCTATTCTGATAAGTGATTGGAGTATACAGCTAGAAGGGAAACAGAAATTTGTCTGTAACACAAAACAGCATCATTTCTTCTTGTTGTACTTAAGAAAAAAAGTTATTTTGTTTTAAAACCTATTCAAAAGCAGAAAAGCCTAGTTCCCAGCATCACAACTGTCTGTATCTCCAGCTCCACGTGATCTAGTGCCCTCTTCTGGCCTCTGCAGGAACTTGCATGCATGCGCACAGACTGGCAGGAAAACATGCATGCATATAAAAAGAAATCTCTTTAAAAATTACATTTTTTCCTTTTGCTTTTGGTACAAGATCTCACTGTATAGACCAGCCTTCCCTGGAACTCACAGAGCTCTGCCTGACTCTGCATCCAGTGCTTGTATTAAAGGCGTACACAATTAAAACAGAATTGAAATTTTCTTAACAAATAGATCTAAACAAAGAATCTGGTGGGTTGATTTGCCATGAACCCTGAAACACTACTTTAAAATTTAGTGAAGACAGTTTTATAGAATGCACTCAGAGTCCAGCTTTAGCTTGGGAAAGGGTCTTGAAACTGCGTGTTCTAGTCACTCAGATTAGTACAGTTTCTAGGTTTCTTATCAGTTTTGCAAATCATGTAGTTCTTCACTGTTTTGAACAAAATAGAAATTTCTCTGTATAATTCAGTGAATATTCAGCATAAGAGATTCTTAGAATAAATGTAGCTTTATTGTATTATAGAGTAATAGTAATCTTAAATTCTAACAATACATCCTTGATTTAATGAATAAAAAGACTCATTAGTAATCAGCCCTGAATTAATTTTATGCAAATGAAAGCTATTACAATTCTTGAAAATAATTTGTCTGTTAAGTTGTTAAATATTTCCCTTTGAAATTTTGTTTACATTATCCCTTTGCATAGCAAAATATAATACAAATCTAAATGCATTTTCAGCCCATTCCAATCTGCCCAGAGGCCAAACCAGCAGATTGCAATTTAGGGCTCAGTATTTCATTACATTCTCTTAGTCCACGATGACATTTTATTGGTCTTTCCATATTAATTTAGATTTGCTGGATGTATATGAAAAGTTGTCTCAAGAGGTAATGTCTCTTAGGGGACTGTGTCTCTCTGATCTTGTCTGCATTTTAGAAAGGGCCAGAGCTCTGAAGTACAGAGTGATTCGTGATTGTGTATTATTAGAAAGAATAACTTTCATATACAGCTGAATCGGTTTGTCAAAGTCTTGGTGCCGTGGGGCTGTATAGATGATTGGGCACTTAAAAGCTCTGGTTGCTTCTTCAGAGGACCCGGTGTCCGTTCCCAGAATATATATGGTACTAACAACCTTCTGTAAGTGCCCTCCTCTGGCCTGCTTGCATTCTAAACATGCATGTAGTGTATCCATGTTCATGCAAGCAAAATCTTCATACATAGAAAATAAAAATGGACAAATATTTTCAAAGTCATCATCTGCCTTTTCCTAGGGAATGCACCTTCTTGATCTGATTAGTCCAGTTTTTGTCTTTCACATTTCCAGCATCCTGAGCACTGAGCAGTGCAGCTGCTCATGGCTATAAAATAAGAATCGTGTTTTGCAGTTTTAACAGTAAAAACTGGAAAGTTTTTTTTGGGGGGGGGTTGATTTTGTGGGTTAGGAAGTGAAGAGACTTTGAATAATGGAACTGGGTTTATGGCTATGAAACTGGCTATTTCTGTGTTTGAGTGCTTGTGAGTTTAGATAGTTTGTGTATGGTTTTCACAGTGATGTATGAGCTCCATTAAGCATGAACTTTTTTAACAAAACATTCTATTTGTTTTAAGGACAGTGCTATTTTATATCACCAACAAACTACAAGAGATGTCATTTTATCATACCCTTAGTAATGCTATTTTTCCTTCAAGTAAGAATGCTAAATGCAATTTTAATGGGCTATAAATGACGGCTTTGTACTGTTTCTGTCCATTTTGCTAATGATATTTTCTCATGTATACAGTCTATACTCATATCCTAGGACATCCCATATCCTACACACAAGGTGATTGTATGTATTTCTTCAAATCTTGATGTTTCTGCCCCGTCTTCAGTATTTTACCGTCATGGCAGAGTTGAAAGCATTTTGTTTCTTTTGCACGTTCACGTCTGGGAATGGTGTCATAGGGCCTAGAGTGGTGTAGAGTGAAGCAAAGTTACGTATGTCTGTTTGTTGTGTAGCTTCCAATAAAGTTAGTTATTCTTTCAGAACCACTTCATGTGAGCTAGACTTGCATAGTCGCCAGACTCTGTTCATAAAGTAGGAGGAGTCTAAACGTGTTTGTGTGACCAAAGCAGCATGGGAAATGCCGCAGTGGAGCATGTGGGGATCTGGAGGTGGCGCACTTGCCCCAAGCTAGAGCAGAAGCAGTCTCGAAAAGGCTTGGCAGTGTGAAAAAACTTCGATTCATTCATTCTCTCTCTCTCTCTCTCTCTCTCTCTCTCTCTCTCTCTCTCTCTCTCTCTCTCTTCCCTCCCTCCCTCCCATCCACCCTCTTTCTTTCCTTCCTCCTTCCTTCCTTCCTTCCTTCCTTCCTTCCTTCCTTCCTTCCTTCCTTCCTTCCTTCCTTCCTTTCTTGTTTTATGTCTACTGTCTTCCATCTTACAGAGGTACAGGTACATTTGTAATCACTGTCCTGTGGATATGCAAGACCTTCACACCTTTATTGCCCCCTTCTGTAAACTTCTATACAGGAAGACTCATAGTGCATATACATGATTTTTCTTAGAATTAATGTTCTTATATTGTGGCTTATGAATGTTTCTTATATTTTTGACTCATAGCATCAGATGGTCTTCCACTATAGAGTGTTTCTATATACATAGTATGAGAATCTATTTCAGTTTACTCTTCTCAACTCTGTTTTTCTGTTGACAAACATGATAAGTACATTTGGCATCTCATTTTTGTTTTGATTTCCATATTAGTTACTGATATAGTCAAACATATTTTCATGCATTTGTGGACCCTTTTATTTTCTTATTATGGGTTTGTATTCCTGTATCAAACTTACCTTTTAGGAAGCTGGGGATGTTTGTCTTGCCCTGATACATATATTAGTGTTTGTACCTCCTACATTATCTTTTTTTTTTCTTTTATGAATAGCTGTTACCTTCTTTAGGAATGGTTTTAAATATTTCCACTATTTTAAACATGTATCTCAAAATTTAAGTTCAAAACAAGATACTGTTAAAGTTGAAATTTAAATGTATGTCTCTCTACTTTTGTCTGGAGAACTTAAAAGATTTTGAGTATTACTTCAATTATTTTTAATGTTTATTTCATGTATATGACTGTTTTGCTTTTACATATATGTACTGTGTGTGTACCTGGTACCTATAGAGACCAGAAGAGAGTAACAGATCCTTTGGATCTGGTATTACAGACTATGGTAAGCCACGATGTGGAACCAAACCCCTGGGTCTTCTTTAAGAGCAACAATTGCCCTTAACTGCTGAGCCATCTCTCCAGCTGCCATCACAATTATTTTGAGAGTGAGTTCTGGCTTTGATTTTCAGCCTTCTCTGTGAACGCTTCCATCTCTGTGCTCTCACTTCCTGTCTCTTAGGTATGAAGCTCTCTTTCCCTTAGCGTTGTCCTGCTTGATGTTTGTCTGGATACACATGGAACAAGAGACCCTACAACAGCCTGGCGTTTCCTGCAAACAGAAGGTAGCCATCCAAACAACTGTTGCTCTGTTTTAAAACATTCTCTGCGCTATGAGAATGTTACACTGTTATTTTGTCAAAAATTCCTTCTGCCTAGAAATCTAGCACTTTAAAAACTTAGCAAATTTTACTTGTATTGATAATTAAGGTCAACAATTATACATAAAGGAAATTTTCATTTATAACAAAATACAATTGTACAGTTTTGGAAAATTATTAAGAATCAGATTAACAAAATATCAATAGGGCAAGAAACACATCTCATGGATAAAAGTGCTTGATACTTACTTGGCTAGCACACTTAGCGGTCTGAGGTAAGTGGGAGAAGTAGAGAGCCCGTGTCTGCACAGGCATGCTGTGGAGAAGTAGAGAGCCCGTGTCTGCACAGGCATGCTGTGGNAAGTGGGAGAAGTAGAGAGCCCGTGTCTGCACAGGCATGCTGTGGAGAAGTAGAGAGCCCGTGTCTGCACAGGCATGCTGTGGCATGCGCACGGCCTACTTGTCTCCCACCACGTGCTCGCACACCTGCTTCACCTCCAGGTTTCCCTTTGACGGTAAACTCGATCATATGGTGCTCTTTCAGTGCCCATTGCTGTTTCTCTAGCCATCATCGTCCAAGGCGTATTCTGTCATCTTAGTGCTGTTGGCCTCCGACTGTATCTTCCACAGTTTACACACTATGCTGTGCCTAGAACTGGACAAAAGTCAACCACTTTTAAAAGGGTTGTCCTCTTGAGGAGTTAGAAGGTTATGTGATGTCGCTCACCTGTTATAGAAGTAAGGTGACTCTGAGACATTGCTGACGCACTGCTCAGTTTACTGAGGTTGGATGAAGAAAGACTGAGCGCTTCTGTGCTCCTCCGCCCTTACCCAGCTCCAGCTGCCTCCCAAGAGGTGTTGTTCATTCGGAATCACTTCACAGTACAGAAGCAGTTGTACTGGTGTGGATGTGTGAAAACCAGTGTGGATGGATCAGTGTAAAGAGTGAAGAATTACCCTCGGCAGTATTTCAGGAGAGGGAATCACTGCATGGCTCTCAAACCCTACTTTTAACAGAAAGCAAGGCCGTTTGTGTTTAGAAAAGAAGATCGCAGCACCCAGTACTTGCTCTTTATTTATATCGAGTATGGCAACGGGGAGACTTCTCCTTTCAACTCTCTTTTGGCTTCTTTTCCGGGATTGGGGACCTAAATAAGAGTGTCTCTACAGTATTTAATGGTGTGACTTTCCCTTTTATCAAAGGCAGAAGTATTTTGTTTTTATAAGGGAAAATAATAATTTATCTGCAAATAGAATTAGCAGGACAAGTAAGAGAATAAATGTTTACTTTGTGAAATATTTTTGATGTTATATAACTGACCTAAGAAGACAAGAAAACTAATAACTGAGGTCTCTGAATAGCAGTTTGAAGGTGGAAAGGAGACCAGCTCTTACTTCAATGACATGATGACACTACAGTCCACCTAATGTTTTTAACATGTTTCCTTCCAGTGAGTTCTATTAAGATGTCATTAAACTATTTCACTGTTGTGGGGTTTTTTTCTATTTGTTTTTTATGTAAGCACAGTATAAATTATTAGCCATTGTTAATTTGTCTGTAAGTTTGTAAGCTAAATACTATTGTTTATTAATGTATTTCTTCCTGCCTCTCAGCTTGGCAGCATTCAGTTCACCTGTAACACTGATATAGCTCAACTTCGACTGCTCGATCTGGATGACATCCGCAGGGCCTTTTTCCTTGTATCCTTTGTTGGGACCTGTAACATCTGCCAACCCCATTTTAATAGAGGAAGATGCTGTAGAAGGTGTTTTTTTTTTTTTTCTTACATAATAGTGGTATTTTTATTAGAGGCCAGTTAACTCTCAGTTTTCTCACACACATAGTTCTCATCATCATTTGGAGAGGACAGATGGCAGGCTTTTAGGTCAGGGGTGGACAGAGTGCTTGCTTAGCATGCACCAAGCCCTGGGTTCAACCCCTAGGAGGGCAAACAAGCAAATACTTTTTTAGCTATAGAAAAATGATGTTGCAAATGTGTGTGTTCCTACCATTCAGTCTTAGCAGTTTATCACAGTTTATTCAGTCTCTTAGATTTTATCACATATGCATATACTCCTTCAGAATAAAATGTTAAAAACTAAAGCAGAATTCTTTCAACTCTCAACTCCTGTTTAGTTTCTCCTGCCCAGAGGAAACCATTATGAGTTTGTATCTTGTGTGCTTTACCTGAGGCTTGTTAGGTCAACTCCCGTCTCACTGATAGGCTTTGGATCCAATCAGAGGTGATCCCATGGAATTACTGAGCGTCACACATTTGAAAGATGGCACAATGAAGCCTCTCTCAGTTAAGGAAGACCAACTGGCCAGTTGCAAGAAATTTATAGGGAGTTATTCCTTTAAAAAGTTAGCAAAATTTTCAGCTTTTTTGAGGTAAAATTAATAAAACCAATAAACGTGGAAGGTGCATTGTTTGATGCTTCACCTTACATAGCAAAATGATCACACAAAATAATTGACATCCTCATCTCTCCGCTGCCATTTGTATTTCTTCCTCTTGCCTTTCCTTCCCCTTCACATTTTTCTTCCCATCCTCCCTCTTTCCCTCCTGCCTTCCCTCCCTCTTCTTGTGAGAATAATTAAGATCTTCTGTCCTAGCAGGCTTTAACACAATACAGTTTCTGTATTACCATACTGAACCTTAGCTGTCCAACCTTACTTGTCATAGATAATTGAAAGTTTTGTTCTGTGATCAGATCTTTTTGGCCCCTCTTCCTAGTCCTTCTCACTACCAGTCTGCTGTTTTAATGCTGTATGTTTTATTTTCTCCATTTTTTTCAAATCACTGTTCTCCTTTTCTTCCTTTGCCTGATCTTGAACCATAGTTTTCCCAGTCTCGCTCTGCAGCCTGCTTCCCATGTCTAATGAGTGAGAGCTTTTCCCCTAGTACTGTCAGACACCTCTGGCATCCACTTTTCTAACTCTGACCTCTCCTGACCTTGAGAGCCCTCTGTCCGTCATTTTCCTGGAAATCAGCAGCATCCAGACTAGGCTCCCAAAAAGCCAGTAATGCAGTAGAATCAAAATCTGGTGTCACTATCATTGGCTTCTCAGTTCGCCCTCATTGTCAGCCACATTCAGAGAGTCCGGTTTGATCACATGCTCGTTCAGTCCCAGTCCAGCTGCCCTTGGTCCCATTAGGACGTCCACCCCACCCCGGGATGGCACCCACTCACTGATCTGGATGGTTCTCCTCAGCACAGGGACAGGGACTCCTGGAGGTCCAAGGACCCCCACAGACAAAAGGGCAACTGGAGGGAGTGGAGGGTTGTGTAGAACAAAGAAGCTCCTGCTGCAGGAGCTGAAGGTGCCCTGCACTCCCTTCCCCTCTGGGTGGGTAGCCTCAGTGCAGGAGCAGGAACTATTCCTGTGCCAAGGACCTCACAGACAGGATGTGTGGAACAAAGAAGATCCTGCAGCAGGAGTTGAAGGGGCCCTGTGCTCCTTTCCTGGACTGTCCGCCCCGCCCCGGGGGTGGCACCCGCTCACCGGTCTAGATGGTTGTCCTCAGCACAGGGATAGGGACTCCTGGAGGTCCAAGGACCCCACAGACAAAAGCGAAATCTTTCATTTGTAAAACAAGATTAGTCACTACATGCAAGATTCTCTTGACAAACAAGAATAAATAGTTTGGAAAGAAAGAAATGTTATGAATTCTGGCTTATTTATACATTTCCTTAACTGTGTATAGGTTTTCTTTTTAGTGACTGCATTTTTTGGAACTGGAAATATAGCTTCTATTAATAGGTAAATTTTTACATTTATTTAGTTTGTGTGTGTGTGTGTGTGTGTGTGTGTGTGTGTGTGTGTGTATGCGCGCACCCCCTTGGGCCAAAAGAGTATCAGATATTCTGGAACTGGAGTGACAGGCTGTTGTGAGCCACCCGATGATTTGGGTACTTTAGAAAAGTAACAACTGCTGAACCATCTGTCTGGTCATTTTACCTTGTTTTTATATTCAATAATATAGTATATTGGAGTATAATATGATAATAATGGAGATTAGCATATAGATCTATTTTGTTTATTCTAGTGTGACTCAGTTTTAGTAAGAGGCAACTTCAGAGAACTACTGAGCATTTTTTTAAAAGAATATTCTTTTAAAGTTAAAGTATGAATTCTAAAATCTTCTTTTTCCTTTATCATTGTCTAGCTTTGACCTTGCCTCTGTGTATTGCTTTCTGACTGTGTTTAGTCCTTTCATGATGGGAGCTCTCATGATGTGGAAGGTTGGTTTTCTGATTTTATTACTTTCATTAAATGGTTTAAAGATTTTGATATTAAGGTTGTGCATCATGTTGCATTAAGATTGTAAAGTCACTGTAACAGAGTTTGAGGCCACCCTGGACCCCTTCTTCCAGATAGCATTGATCTCTGCTTTATTCTTAAGACTATTTGACTATAAAAGAATAAGGATTCTGTTAGCTCAAGAAAATTGTATCAGAATTAAAGACTGTAGGAGAACTATGATCAAAACTGTGTCTTGAGGGTGAGGAAGCTTCCTGACTCCATGGTTTCCAACCACAGGGCAGCCACTGTGTTATCATTTTTCCCATGTTCCTAGAATTGATCAGTCCTTTTAACAAATGTCCCATTGAGTATTCTGTTTATTTAGTGTGTCAGGTACTAACTGAGTGCTAACAGTATGAAAGTAATTACATGTTCAGGTTTCTAGAGATAAAGATTCTGGTAGAATATTAGTTGCTTTTCTGTTGCTTTAATAAAATACCCTGATAAAAAGCAAGTTAGGGAAGAAAGGCTTTGTTGAGGCTTACAGTTCCAGAGGGGATTTGGTTCATCATGACAAAGATGGCATAGAAGCAGAAACATGAATCCAGTCTTGCGGTTAGGAAGCAGAGAGATAGCCGGGCGGTGGTGGCGCACACCTTTAATCCCAGCAGAGGCAGGCGGATCTCTGTGAGTTCGAGGCCAGCCTGGTCTACAGGAGCTAGTTCCAGGACAGGACAGGAACCAAAAGCTACGGAGAAACCCTGTCTCGAAAAATGNAAAAAAAAAAAAAAAAAAAAAAAAGAAAAAGAAAAAGAAAAAAGGAAAAGAAAAAAGAAAAGAAAAGGAAGCAAAGAGATCACATTTCATCTGCACACAGGAATCAGGGAGAACAGGAAGTGGGAGCCAGACTATAAGTTCTCAGAGCCTGCTCTCAGAGTTGTACTTATTTCTATAGGACTTGACCACCTAAAGGTTCATAACCTTCCAAATAGTGCTGCCCGCTGGGACAAAATACTCAAATACATGGGTCTGTGGGGGGCATTTCTCATTCAAACCATCATAGTTGTTATACTTACCTGTTTACTAAACTTCTCTTCTGTAGCACTTGGTACATCTTATGTAGATAGTATATATCTCTTTAAATATTCAGATACAGGAATAATAGCTGTTGACGGTGTATATTCTCTTGGTTGGAGCTTTTATATTAGAAATGTAATTTGAGAAATGATAAGAAGTCCCAGTCTCTATTCTCTATTGACTTGTTTTAAAATATATTAGGGTTTCCTTAATTATCGTCTACATTTTTAGTGAATTTTTGTTTAGTCTGTGGACTATGATACTAATTAAACATAAAAATCAAATTACATTAGTAGATCTTTAATTTCTGTCATAATTCAGTAAGCTGTAGCAACATAACGCGCTTGACAACTGGTGTTGGCTGATGAGTGCTGTGGTGAACACCCTCCTGAACTCTGTTGTGTTCATATGTCCTTTGGAGAAGAGTCTTCTAAGTCTTGAACATCATTTCTTTACCATATATCACCCCCCAGCTTATGAAATACAGACTGTCTTTTGAGAGATATGGGAAGAGGAGGAGATACATATGATTGCATTTCATTGTCTGCCTGTATGAAGTTCTCAAAGAATGAAAAAAGTTTAAAACTTGGTTATTGTTAATTAATACTCCACACATAATAATATTGGGGGTTACATATCAGATATCCTGCATGTCAGATATTTCATTATGATTTACAGCAGTAGCAAAATTACAGTTATGAAGTAGCAATGAAATACTTTTATGGTTGGAGTTCCCACACCATAAGGAACTGTATTAAAGGGTTGCAGTGTCAGGAAGGCTAAGAAGGTCTAGATGATGAACTTTCAATTACTATAAACTCTTATGTTTTCTGTATATGTTTTCAAATGTACTACACTGAGTATAAGTTTATAATCGTAAGTAGAGTAACGTTTTAAACTCAAAAGAGCAGTAATAAAATAGATGAGTCGTGTTCACATGCTGTAGTCATCTCGTGATAAGCAGGTCCACTGCTCTGTGCATCACATCAGCAGGCTGCACAGCTGACTAGCTTTAGGCACACACTGTCACGTGCTCTTGGAAGCACGAGCATTGTCAGGAATCCGTAGAATATGTCAAGTAGGGCAAAATTGTAGAAGATTTTAATTTGGAATTCACAGTAATGTTTGCTGTTATTCTTGGTGTATTATTGTTGGTCTTTAAATTATTGTTCACTGTCCCATGTGACAGTTTCACGCTTTATCTCTGTTTTCTCTCAACTGGTATATATAAATTATTTGAGAGATTGAAAGTCGTTCTGTAAGCAGTAGTATTTGCATGAAACGTGTTTCAGGGACTTGTTACCAATGACATCATTTGTTGTTCTTGGAAACAGATTTTAATTCCCTTTGTTCTTGTGATGTGTGCTTTTGAAGCAGTTCAGATAACTACCCAGCTGTCATCAAAGGGGTAAGAAAAATGCTTAACAAGTCCTGGGTTCTCCATTGTTTATAAATAAAGAGGTGTCCGCGCTGAGAGATGGCTCAGAGGTTAAGAGCACTACCTGCTCTTCCAAAGGTCCTGAGTTCAATTCCCAGCAACCACATGGTGGCTCACAACCATCTGTAATGAGATCTGGTGCCCTCTTCTGGCCTGCAGGCATACACGCAGACAGAATACTGTATACTTAATAAATAAATATTTAAATAATTAATTAATTAATTATGTGTCATGTGATTGCTATTAAAAGTGTGTGACACAAATTGTTTATTTTAAAATTTAGAAGTTTTCTATTTTTAGATTTCAGTTGTCATTAGAGGAAATTGACTAATTAGGGCCTCTAGCAGACAAATACACTTTCTCTGCAGTAAAACATTAGAATCTTACTCAAGCTACTGAAGATTCTCTCTAGAAAAACATAAATTTTAAGTGCTGTAATTAATTATTTGTTTGTTAAAGGTATAATGGTTTTTACAAAAAATGAAGGGCTACTGTTGCAATTTCTTTTGGCTTATTTCTTAAAAACATATTAAACACATTTGTTAACATTATTTTATTTTATATGGGTTCACATTAACTTTACTGTATATCAATAATTTGCAAAAATACACATTGAGAAATGTGTGAGAAGGATTCTGAGTTTAGAGGTATTTCTCAAGCAGTTAGTCTTCAGCATTCAAGATTGTGAAAGAGAAGTTGTTAACCAAGTATTTACTTTTTTAACCCTTAAAATTACCTCATCAGCACAGAGAGTCTCTGAAAAGACTTATAAATAGCACTTTTATAAGTGAATCAAGCTGGCACAGTCCATACTAAAACGATGAATAGCATTAACATAAATTTGCATGTTTCCTTGATGAGCCTAAGGTAGAACTCAGTTTAGCTTTCTAGTATGTATACATCATAATTCTTTTCAAGATTTCCTTCTACTGTTTAGCAATAGTGGAAATCTTATTTCTAGTTCAAAAGAAAATAATCTTTCCGGATATTTACATGAGTTTAATAGTGAAGACATGTGCTCCTTATCAGCAATAAAGCCTGTTGAGTAACATAGCATGTGCTTTCCTGCATCTCTGCTAGCAGACAAATTTTCAGGAGGAATTTTAATTAAGCTTTGTATACGAACAGTGGGCAGTGAGATAAAAACAGAAATCTGACTGATGTGTGTGACTATATACATGTATTTGTGTGCCTGTGTGTGGTAATTCTGTCTCGAGTCTAATGCAATGAAGTCCCAAGAGGCAGAGGTAGCAATATCAAAGGCTTAAGAACACAAAACAAAACAAAAATTTCTCTTTTGACCCTTAAGCCATGGAAAGACTTGACATTTTTTCCCCTGTGTCAGAGCTCCTTGTGTTTAATATGCCATCCATTCAACTCAGTGATTCCATTTTCCTGTTGACAGGTAGATTTGAATCTCTCTCTCTCTCTCTCTCTCTCTCTCTCTCTCTCTCTCTCTCTCTCTCTCTCTCTCTCTCTCTCTCCTAACCCATCATGGAAGTCAGGCTACACCTTTCCTCCTTGTTTATTTGCTCCTTAGCTCTTGTTCATGTCTTGCCCTCCTGTCTCTGTCTTCACAGAGGCATTTTGTTTCTGTTGTTAAAATCTTAGAGTTTTTAAGTCTGGGGCATAAAGAGGACTTTGTTTACATTCTGGTTGTTTCTTATACCCACACCGCCAAGACTTAAGTTGAATGTAGCAGACCAAGGTGAAGGTTCTACCTGCATATTTTCTTACCCACTTCATAAACTATGTATTAGATAAAGTAAGGTAGAAAAGCCGTATTAACACTATTCTATTTTATATGACTTAAAACAAACTTTTCCGGTTGTCATTTATGTGTCTTGTCCCTCAGTCTCCGTAACTGAACTCATCATAAAACCTTGTACATTTTGGGTAGTGGTCTCGCTTTTATCTTCCTCAGTTACCTGAGGACACTGTTCACAGTTGGGTTCTAACGAATTTGAAAAGTGTGCCTATTACATTATGTGTATTTTTCCTTTATTTTTCAGCCTTTTCCTCGTTGTTCTTGTCATATCAGACATCATGGCTTTGGTAAGGCACTTCCATAGATCATTATGTCAGCTCATGAAACCAAGTTTGTTTCTGTTTAACTGGAGAAATGTGAATGCATTTCTGTACATGAAATCTATATACTGAGTCTTAAGTCATGGCAGTTTGCACAGATGTATTACTTTTTGTATTGCTAATGAAACTTTTTAAGCTGTCAAATTCTTTTCTTGTTACTTGATTTATTTAGACTGTTATTTTATACTTGCTCTTTCAGGCTGTTCTCTTCCTTTGTGTTTGAAATGAGCCTTTCGTAGATTAACAGAAGAAGTCAGCTTCAGATTCACTCATTTAAATACTGACTTCTGGTTCTCCAAGGTTAAAAAAGAGAAAACAGGAGTGAAGAAAGGAAAAATGAAATACAGCTTTATCAACTGGGGAATGTTATCAGTTAATAGCTATAACCAGTGGATTCTAAGAACTTTTAGATAATCTCATATATCGTTCCTATACCCACAGTTAGGTTTGATAATTCTCTAGAAGCCGTCACTGAACTCGATGAATCCTATTATATTCTCAGTTCTGGTTTGTGACAGCGAGATCATACAAATAAGTCACCCAAAGGAATTTCTGTTTGAGTGGAATGGAGAGTTCTCCTGCTTCCTTCCAGTGGAGTGAGAGTAGCCTTATCCCTCAGCACAGAGTGTGACAATACACACGGAACATCGCCAGCTCTCCTTTCCTTTTTAGTAGGTATTGGTCAACATGGCGCACATGACTGATCATTAATCCCCAGTTCTTTCAAGAGGAGAGACCATACCATGTGGCCCAAATTTCCCCTCATAAATCATATTATTAGACTGGTAACCAATGCCACTGGCAAAATGCTTCATTAGTCATTCCAAGGCCTACAAACCACATCCTAGTAGCTGAGAGCCATGCCTCTTTTAAGGTATGATTCATACCTGACTGTATATCTGCTAAGTAATTTCTCAAATCTGATTGCTGCCTCCTTGATCTAGATGAGAGCATTTTTGTGTTTTGTTCAAATAAATATTTATTATCTTTCTCAAATTGATCACACATGATGATAGAACAAAATCAACACTCACAAAATGACAGATAGGCAAGAATAGATGAGAATTAAATGATTCTGGTTGAGTTTGTGTGAAGAATCAGGTCACTTGGTTTAAGTCACCAAACTGTTTCTGACCCAGGTTTTGTGACTGGCTTAATTTTATATCTCTCCTTCCTTGTTTTTCTTAAACCAGCATCACTTTGAACCTATGAACTTGATCTGGGTAGGCCCTTGGTGTTTAGTAGATTATTCCTTTTGTCCAAAAACAACTTCCTCATTGCCTTTCAGATTATGTCTTTATCTGATTCTTGCTTTTCACTTAGATTTCACCTTCCTCTGTTCTGTATCTCTCTGTGCACACACACAAGCATTTACACACCTAATAATTTGAATCATCATGAGATGATGTGTCTTGTGAGCAGATTACTTTTAGACCCTTTCAGTGACTATTATTAATTCATAGTAGATAGCATCACTAAATGTTTGTTTACCAGATGTTGTGATTTCAGTTGAATCTTGGGCATTTTTAATATTTTTATTAGAGTTGGGTGGTTTTATTTCTTATTATTCACAAACATCATTTTGTATTCATTTATTGAGTTCCATTTGTGGCATTTGGGCTATTGCTTATTTTAATACAGGCAGAAATAGCAGTTAAGGGTATATTCTTGTGGATTCTGGGTAGAAAATGATGTGCCAAATACTCATCCCTAAAACAACTTTGTTTATAGATTGAAATTAAATAGTCTTTGTTTTTAATGGAGTAATATTGTATTATCTTTTACAGCATTTTTTCTTCTTGGTCAAGGATTCTGGCAGCTGGCTTGATATTGGAACCAGGTATTGTATATAGTCTCACTATATGGGTGCCAGTATGACTTCAGACAACTACAGGAAGTAGCATAGATTTTGAGGCTCTGAGATGAGACACCTTGGCAGGTATTTTCATGGGGTGCTGTGGGAGAGAAGGAAGGATGTTTAATCTGGAGAGAACTGGGCAGCAGAAAGATATGACAGACCCATGAATCTGTATTCTCAAAGTAGCTCTCAAATGTCCTCATGTGCTCTTATAACCTCACAATCACTTAGACTGCACTGTAAACTTTATGTATTGGTTGAGATTTCATGTCATCACTATCTACCTTGTAGAAGCTCTAAGGGGACCCTATAACACACGGTCATTTAAAGCATAATCTGAGCAAGTTTCCTCTCTTTCCAGTGATCTGTTCAAGTTCTTCTTCCTGAGAAGAAGAAAGCAAAGTTGATCCTCTCACCTTTCTCCCCCCAAAATGGATTCTGAGACAGAATATGCTTTTCTAAACCATTGTGTTTCATTTAGTTAATATTTAGTCGCGCTTTGAGCTTCTGGGAATTTGTGGTTTTATGTAAGACAGTGCATTAGACATTTCTCTCAAAGCTCCCGGCTTGTATCTGCTCCAGATACATTGGATGCCCTCAGACCTGGGATCTGATGTGAATCTACATAGTCATCTGGGCCTAATGGCAGCTTCTAATGCATATGTGAGCAACACTAATTGAACTTAGTGGGTCATGAAAAGAAAGGCAATTTGAATTTAGGAGAGAGAGATGGGGAGAAGAGAAGATTAGAAGGAGGGAAATGTGGGTATATATGAATCATATTTCATTGTATACAAATATGGAAGGATAAAAAAAAGCCTGGCATAGTAACATATGTCTGTAATCCCAACAGTGGGGAGGCAGAACATGAAGATTCCTGGGACTTGCTGTACAGCTAATCTTATGGAATCCATATATTCTAGGTTCTGTGTGAGACTCTGTCTGAAAAAGTACAGCAGAGAACAATAGAGAAAGACATTCAGAACCAGCCTCTGACCTCTGCACATACTCTTATATATATACACATATACCCACATGTACATGAACATGTGCACATGCATACCACATACACAGAGACAGTCACCAGGAGGGTAGATAACAGCTCTTTGACATGGCCACTAAATTTCTAGGTATTTATCTAAGAGAAGGAAAAATGTACACAGAATGATTGATTTATATAGGAATTTTTATAGCAACTTCATTCATACCAAACTCTGTTTGTGAGCACATGAATGGATAAATAGATCCTGCTGCATCTGAACAGTAGACAGCTACTTGCCGTGAGTACAAATGAATGACAGCCTTATAGACAGTTCTTAGAACTGCAGTGAGTAAAAGTAACAAGATAGGTAGGGATATACAGTGTGTTGTTTTCACCTATATAAAATTCCAATTTATAGTTTCAGAAAGCTAATCAATAGTTGTGGAGCTCAGAGGAATGTGGGGTCGCACGGAAGAGCAAGTGGGAGCTTCTGTGGGGATGGACATCATCCAGATGTCTTGACAAGGGTGATGGTCACCTGGGTGTGCCGTTTGTTAAAACTCAGCTCACTGGGCACTTAAAATTGTTGTATTCTTTTACATGGAACTCTACCTCAACTCAACTGATAAAGACAACAGAGCTAAGCTGTCTGGCATGGAGATGACCATGGTATAATATTAACTTCAATCTCATTGGTGCTCAAGAAACAAGCATGACGATGCTAATTCATGCTAGGGATCTCACTGCCTTCTAGAAGATCTACAGGGAGAACTGGAGCTGCTTTTAGAAGTGAGAAAGAAGGAATGAGATCTTTGCTGTCCACTGGGCTTTCTCTTGTTCTGCTTCCTGCTACTCCATTTCCTGCTGGAAATGAAACAGAGAGTGCTTAGCTGGCAATGGTCAGGAAGCAGGGATCTGTGTTTGCACCACTCTTTGAAGCTTGATTAGAAAGGGAAGAGGACATAGGTGCAGCATTTGCACAGGGATACCTTCACACCTCTATGTTAGGAGATTGTATTTTTGTTTCATATAGTAAGGGATGTGAGCAATACTATAGTTTGAAGGAGTGAACATCCCTGAGTTGATCCAATTGGATCATCCCATTAGAGGAAGTTTCTGAAGGCAGTTTGAGGATTCCAAGTGGTGCACAGAGTTATACCCATAACTCTATAGGGTTGTGCATTGCAACTCATACCCCATCTACCCAAAGGTGGTCATTTGGAATGTGGATCCTCAAAGGCAGAATAATGACTGTTCAGAAACCAGGAGTCTAGCACAGACCAAGTTAAAAACAACAAAACACTCACTCTTGAGTAGAAAGTCCAGGACATCAGTCAGAGGATTGCACTGAGTCACACTTCATCAAAATAGACTATACTCGTATTATGCTCTGTTATTTGCACTATCTCCCTAAAGGTTATTTCAGGCACTTTTCATCCTAACACAGAGAAGTATTACCTTACCTAGCAGATGTATTTGCTTTCTCCAGCTGACACTGCCACTCTGGGAAAGTTTCAGTTAGTTCATGTTACAGGGCCCATAAGTAGTTGAGCTTAGTGGTAGCCTTTCACTGGTTGAGACTGGATTTCTCACTGCCTTCTCTCTGAATTAGAGAATTTTCCAGAGGGTGTGTTGTATAACAAGATAAACCTTTTTTTTACAAAACCAAAGTAAACAAAAATCGGACTTTGAGTAGCTGTGGTGGCCGACCCAGCTACTGAAGACCCCGTGATGTGAGGGTGTGGGTCTGGCACCAGTTTCCCCAAACCTGGGGGGGTGGAAGGAGCCTGCAGATGCTAGCTCCATGTTAGGACACTTGTCGCGTGTACAAAGCTTGCTTCACGCCCCAGGGCTCTTTGGGAAAAGGGGCTTTGTGCCTAATGCTGTTTGTAATTTACAGAAGGATCATTGACTGTGAGGTTTTGAATTATGTAAATTAGGGGTGTGGACAGGAGAGAACAGCCTATCTGGATCATGCAGTGATGCTTGTTTTAGTCTGGAGGAACCTCTGTACTGATGTCCTTAATGACCATATTAAATTATATTTCAATTAACAGTATATAGAGAAGCCTTTTCCCTCATATCCTTTATTTATTTATTTATCTATTTATTTATGTCGTCTCAATGAAAAGTGGCTAGGAGAGAATCTCAGTGCCGTTTTGATTGGCATCTCCCTAATGGCCAGTGTTGCTGAGCAGTTACCACACATTGTTCTTTTGAGCTGGCATTGCAGTTCACTTGCCTATTTGCTGATTGCATTACTTGTTCTTTTGGTATTGATTGCTGATTTCTTTCTGTGTTCTGGATATTAATACTCTACTGGCAGAAAAGGTAGTGAGAATTTTCTCCCACTCTGTAGGCTTTCTCTTTATTCTCTTCTTTCCTATGCTTTGCAGAAGCTTTTGAATTTGCTGCAAGCCTATTTGTTGATTTTTGCATAATATTTCCTGAGCTCTGCAGTCCTATTTAGGAGTCCTTCTCTCTGCCTAAAGCCAGCATTTTCTGTTGATAATGTCAGAGTTCCAGGTCTTGCATTAAAGTCTTTGATCCATTTGGAGTTAACTTTTGTCCAGAATAAGAGAGAGATTTAGCTTAAGTTTTCTGCATAAGGATATCTAGTTCCATTTGTTTAAAGACTGTCAGTCAAAACACGGTCCAGTGGAGTCTGAGAGGGAACTGAGTGCTTTTGAGAAAACTCCAAGAGAACAAGACAACATTCTTGTAACCTTAGTTTCTATAAAAACAGAATCTAGCCAAGTGGTGGTGGCACATGCCTTAATCCCAGCACTCAGGAGGCAGAGGCAGGCAGATCTCTGGTAGTTTAAGGCTGTCCTGGTTAGGACAGCAAGAGCTGTTACATGTTACACAGAGAGATACTATCTGGGCGGGGAAGGGGACAACACAGAATTGTTCTTGGAATATATTTTCTTTTTATTATTTTTTATTTTTATTGACCTCTACATTTTTCTCTCCTCCCCTCCCTACCTTTTTCCTCCCTTTCAACCCTCTCCCAAGGTCCCCATGCTCCCAATTTACTCAGGAGATCTTGTCTTTTTCTACTTCCCATGTAGATTAGATCTATGTATGTCTCTCTTAGGGTACTCATTGTTGTCTAGGTTCTCTGGGATTGTGATTTGTGAACTGGTTTTCTTTGCTTTATGTTTAAAAAACACTTATGAGTGAGTACATGTGATAACTGTCTTTCTGTGTCTGAGTTACCTCACTCAAAATGATGTTTTCTAGCTCCATCCATTTTCCTGCAAAATTCAAGGTATCATTTTTTCTGCTGTGTAGTACTCCATTGTGTAAATGTACCACATCTTCCTTATTCATTCTTCGGCAGAGGGGCATTCAGGTTGTTTCCAGGTTTTGGCTATGACAACCAATGCTGCTTATGAACATAGTTGAGCACATGTCCTTGTGACACAATTGAGCATCCTTTAGATATATACCCAAAAGTGGTATTACTGGGTCTTGAGGAAGGTTGTTTCCTAATTTTCTGAGAAATCGCCACACTGACATCCAAAGGGGCTGTACCAGCTTGCATTCCCACCAGCACTGCAGGAGTGTTCCCTTTTGCCCACAACCTCTCCAGCATAAGTTGTCATCAGTGATTTGATCTTGGCTGTTTTTACAAGTGTAAGATGGAATCTCAGAGTTGTTTTGATTTGCATTTCTCTGATGACTAAGGATGTTGAGCATTTCCTTAAGTGTCTTTCAGTGATATTTTAGATTCCACTGTTGAGAGTTCTCTGTTTAGATCTCTACTCCATTTTTTAATTGGATTATGTGTTGTTTTGATGAGCAATTTCTTGAATTCTTTGTATATTTTGGAGATCAGACCTCTGTCTGATGTGGGGTTGGTGAAGATCTTTTCCCATTCTGTAGGCTGTCGTTTTGTCTTGTTGACCGTGTCCTTTGCTTTACAGCTTCAAGAGGTCCCATTTATTAGTTGTTTCTCTCAGTGTCTGTGCTGCGGGAGTTATATTTAGGAAGTGGT